GCCTCACTCTCAACTGAGCATCTTGTCAACTCCTCTGCTCTTTTGAAGTTCTCAATCAGACATCGGCCATTTGATTTCCACCCTATCTTTTTGGGGAACCTGAGCCCTAGAAACCTATTTATCGTGAATCATGAGCCTGGCCCAAACAGTATGTTTTGTATGCCAAGAGCTCCATCTTTGGCTACTGAGGTCTTCCTGAGTGAGTGAACACTGGAGCTGGTGGCTAAAATCCTCAGTGCCCTATGCTGCATTCCTGTATATGCAAACAGAAGCTGTTTTGCAGCTTCTGTGTTGCTGTTATTACAAGGCAATTGATTACAAATGTTCTTAAAAGCAGGCAGCCATTGTGGGGGAGATTCTGTGCTGCTAAAACTCTGCCTCTTTTTGGCCCTACAAGGGTTAATATGGCCTCTGAAAGGGCTCTATGCTTAATTGTTGAGTCCCCCCCTTCCCCCATATCTACAGGAAGGAAATAGAGTTTACACATTCAGAACCTGAACTCTTTTTCTTCCTTTTGTGTTTCAGCCACGAGAAAGATCAAGAAAGTGAAGAGGGAGTCGAGCTACGTGAAGGTGAGGAGGAGTCCTGGGCTGGTCCAGAAGTGGCCAAAAAGTGCTACGTGGGTGTGTTTCAGTCTTTTGCATGGATGGAGTTTCTGCAACCAAGGGTCCCCAAGTGTACAGCATGTCTGGGAGCAAAGCTGTCTCGCAGAAGCCTTCTGTCTGGATCAAGCATGCTGATGTTTTTGCAGCCAACATCTGGCATGCAGAATCTGGCCTGCAGATGTTTTTGCAGCCTATCCCATGCAAGATACAACATTCACCGTTGAACATTAATTTGAGAGAGAGGAGAACCCATCCATCCATCCATCCATCCAACCCATTCATCCCAAGGAAACCCAGAGCCCCCCAGATATGACCAGACTACAGCTCCCATCAGCACCAACCAGTGTGGCCAGTGGGAGTTGTAGCCCACCAGCTACAGATTCTGTCCCCTCTTTGATGGATAACGTGCCTTTCCTCCCAAGGCAGCCAAGCAGAACACGTGCTAGGAGTTCTCTCTCTTCCTCCCCTGGTCCCACAACGACACTACCAAGAAGATCAGTTTGAAAGGCAGTGAGTGGTCCATGTTTGCCCAGTATTTCGTCACCCGCTCAGCTCTCTGGAATTCCAATGTTGGCAGGGTAGCAACTACTCTGAGTTTTCTCTCTTCCAAACTCACCATCGGCTGTCATATCTGGACCACCTTGATAGAAGAGAATATGTTCCAGAGGGCATTAGATACCAATTCGGATCAGTCTGATGTAAATTTCAGAACGTTCAGTCCTGCTATGGCTGATATTTGAAATAGGCTGATAGAGTTCCGCTGTCCAGAATCTCCCTGTCACTCTTTTGCATTCGCTGACACAAATACACGCCCTCCAAACCTGCTTGTTTATCTGTCAGGGATCTAATATCCACTGCTTTTGGGGCCGTTAGTCATAGCTGTCAACTAAAATCTGTTTCATTTCTCTGCCAGGGGATGGCACAAATGCAGATGAACAGACAGCAGTGGCCATTGCCAGTGTCCAGCAAGCAGCCTTTGCAGACCATAATATTCAGTACCAGTTTCGCACAGAGAACAATGGAGGACAGGTAATGTCCATGTCGGTAAGCTTGGATTTTGCTCTAAGGCAGTGTTTCTCAACCTTGGCAGCTTTAAGAAGGGTGGACTTCAACTCCAGAATTCTGGGAGAATTCCCCATTCATGCTGGCTGGAGAATTCTGGGAGTTAAAGCCCACACATCTTAAAGTGCTAAGGCTGAGAAACGCCGCTCTAAGGACTTTGGACAGAGCTCCAGCAATTAAAGACTGCCTGCCATGCAGTTCGAAGACAACGGAGTACAGTGGGCAAATGCCTAAGGTATAGAAATCCTCTCCCATCTCAGTCTTGAGTCATTTCATTTTACTCAAAAAAATACAGTTTGTCATTGCAGAAATGGCCCCATAGCAGGGCTTGACTGTTTGAGCTCTCCAGGGGGGTTGAACGTTGCCTCATCCCTCCCCATCTTCATAAATCCCTTCGGCCAGAAGAGTGATACGGTGTGTCACCTTTCTCCCCAGGTGACATATAGAGTAGTTCAGGTGACGGACAGTCAGCTGGATGGACAAACAGATGCAACGGGGGCAGTCAGCGTGGTCTCGACCGCGGCTTTCACCAGTGGCCAGCAGGCTGTTGCTCAGGTGAGAAGGGGTTCGGCTGCAAAGCATAGCCCTGGTATTATTATTAATATTATTTTATTCCTTTGTGGACCCTCAGTGATGTGCCCCTAACAAAACGCTGAGTACGTTGACCATAATAAACGCTTTAAAAAATAGATCAAGTAAGCACCTTGAGAGTGATAACACCGATAATGAAACAGCAGTACGCAAAATGAAGTGGGAAACTTACATAAGCAGGATGGACACTTAAGCATTGCGCACGTGAGGGTGTTGTGCGAAGGCTTCTAAACCAGGATTCAATTCTGCCGGCTTCTTTGGAAGGAGGGGGAAAAACACTCTTTGCACTAAAGTTTTGCACGAACGAGTGATTCTAAACTGGCTCCATCTCCTCTGCCTTTTCAAAGTCATTGGGTGAGTTTCATCTTCAGCTCCAAACAAAAGAAAAATTAATTATAAACTTAAGGACTTAAAGAATTTGAAATAAACAGCAAAAAGCGAAATAAGATGTCGATCCAAGAAAGCTGTAAACGGATTAAGAGTCCAGATAAATTTGGAATACTGACTTCTACTATAAGATTTTGGAATTAACTATAAAAAATAAATAGCTTCTCATGGGAAACAGACTTATTTTGACTATCCTGGCTACGGTAAGCCGTAACAAATCTACTATAAGATTTTGGAATTAACTATAAAAAATAAATAGCTTCTCATGGGAAACAGACTTATTTTGACTATCCTGGCTACGGTAAGCCGTAACAAAGATAAATTACTTTATGATTTTAGGAAGTGGACACTAGAGGGGACTAAAGATTCTAAGTAGGAGGAAAAAAAAATACAAGCCTGTTCTTGATGTTGGTTAATACTGGGGCTTACAAAATGACACAAAACATTATAACATCAGAAACATTAAAGGAGATTTTTGAAGGATGGAACCAGAAATTAGTAACTACAGTATCAGCACTCTAGTCTGCTTCTATAGAAACATGAACTTTGAGGAGATGGAGACAGTTTAGAATTCACTTGTTCATGCAAAACTTTAGTGCAAAGAGTGATTCCCCCCCCGTTCCAAAGAAGCCAGCAGAAAGCATGTGACTGAACTCTGTACATGCTTAAAACTGAAGGTGAACATTTGCAGGGTTAGCAATCTTGTCTCCCAGGGAGAGGAGATGCAATTTTAAATGCACACCGCAGGACACTGAGAACATTGCTGGTTGCTTCTTCTCTCAAAACAGTCCCAGTGCTTGCTCAGTTTATATTTAGAGTGGTTTATTATATATTAGTGTCAGATCTGATAGAAAAGGATCCCTCTGGGCAGGTTTTGTATGCAAGGATGTGGTTAATAAGTTGACGGTAACCCTGACACAGCTGTTTTGGATCTGGTTGCCAAATGTGCTCTTCTCATGAGAAACCTTATCCTCCTTAGAGCTCACCTCTGAGCGTCCGCTGTTTTTGGACTAATGGATTTAAAACACTTATCTACCGCTTCCTTTAAAACGTCTTGAAACTGTTGACAATCCGATTGGAAAGCAGTAATTAAACAACAGCCGATTCCAGCCGAGCAGATAAACCCAACTTATTAAAAATGGGTGGGAGAGAAAAGAAAAACAAATAATTTGAAATACACAACCCCCTTCTATCATTTTTATATCAGAGGTTGGGGCTTTTTCTAGAAGCCCCACAGAAGGAGATGGAGATGACAAGGCTGTATCACGCCAGCGCACCAGCCATTTGCAAGCCCAGTTTGCAGCCCCAAAGGGGATAGGGTGGAGTTCCAGGTTTGGGGAAGTTTATGGGGTTGAAAACACACACACACTCTTGGAGGATGGTTCTCATTGTCCCCAGTCAGAGCCCAGCCAGTTCTTAGGAACGACGGGGACTGTACTCCCCAAAGGATACATCCTGCCCCTATTGAAGTACATTTCCTGAAGAATCTGCCCTTTGAAGTTAGATACACGTCGTGTGAAGTTGTCACCTCCTTTAATCCAATCGTGTCACTAAATATTCTTCTTCATAAATGGGAAGCCACTGTTCCCATCTCTGGGGTGGCCTGGCCAGCATTTAATACAGTGTTGTCCAAACTTGGCCACTTTAAGATGAGTGGACTTCAACTCCCAGAATTCCCCAGCCAGCCATGCTGTTGCCTGTCCAAACGCAAGAGGGCAGTGCGTACCTTGAATTAATCACCAATCTTCTGATTACTCTTCACTGCTCAGTTTCCTCTCTTCCCCGCTTCTGTAAATCTGTTCCAGGACCGCATATCGATTTCATACTCTGCCCAAAGTCTTGATTTAACTGAGCATTCCTAATGTTTAGTTCCCAGCTCTTGGCCTGCCTCTCACATCCCCTTTATTATTTATTTTTTATTTATGCCAGCCTGAATAAAAGTCAAGTTTTCTTTTCTGGGCCGGTGCAACGGTGTTAAGTCTTCCCTTGCTCTTTATCCATTATTTATCTTTCTCTTGAGTGGTTTGGTTTTTGCTGTCACAGACCCATAAACGCACCTCTCTCTGTTTCCAGGCCGTGATTCAGAACCCTTTCAGTAATGGTGGGAGCCCAGCCACGGATGCTGTCAGCGGCGAAGCCCGCTTTGCATACTTCCCTGCCTCCACAGTGGGCGATGCCACAGCTGTATCCGTGCAGACAACCGATCAATCGCTGACACAGGCTGGAGGTAGGAAATCAGGGACCCCAGAAAGCTGCTCCAAGTGCCTTGGTGGTCTCCACGTGTCTTGAGTTAGTACCCCTAGAATCCCCAATCTTTGACCATTATGATATCTGGAGCTGATAGGAGTTCTGACTCGGTCTGATGGACACAACATGTTCAGATTGTGGGTGCACTCCACAAGTCACTAATTTGTAAACCGTCCAAGCTCAGTCTAGCATCTTATGTGGATCTGGCCCATGGATGTCAGTATTAATTTCAATGACTTAGTTTCTAAAATGAACACCTAAGACCTTTTGTTTGCAAACCAGTGAAGATTCTGCCTGAGGAAGTGGTTCAAAAGTATTTTATATATAAAAATACCCCTGCAAAATCTGTGAGTTTAGTATCGCCGCGCTCAGGATATAAGCCTATCCATTGCTTGAAATTGAATTTTTTGGGGAGGGGGTGGGTAGAAGAGATATACCGTGAGAAGAAGGAAGAAAATTGGAAACATGAGCAGACAGACTAAGAGGATTAGCGAAGTCTTCATGCAAGCGTTTGGCACTGCAACATTTTATTGTAGACACCCCTGTCCCCTTTTTTAAATTTTTAATTATTTATTTGGTGGCCTAACTTCTTTTCCACATTGCTCTGACAGGTCAGTTCTACGTGATGATGACCCCCCAAGACGTGTTGCAGACAGGAACACAACGTACCATAGCTCCTCGCACCCATCCCTATTCCCCGTACGTACAGCTTTGGGCACAAACAGTTATTGAAGTTGCACCAGGGTCTCAATAGCAACAGATCCTGTAGACAAGGAAGTTCTGGACGTTCTGCAGTGTGGTTGGGAAAGAGGGGAGGAAGGTGAGCAGGAAACGAGCAAAGTAGGTGGGACCACAAGCAGTCACGCCACGCTGGTGTTGGGGAGGAGAGAAGGCAGGTGAATCGGTATGCCAGAACATAAAGGAATGTAGATAAGGAAGGATCAGACCATTATGGGGGACTTGTAGAAGAGAATGGAGGAAGCGTGAGAAAGAAAGTCAAATCCCTCTCCTTTGATAACGTTTAGTACAAAATGGGACTGTCAGCCTTACCAGGTAGACCAGACAGGAAACACGACCAGATGAGCTAATTCTACTTTATTGTAAGGCTCCATTAACAGAAACTTGCAAGTCTGAAAGTACAGTTCTCCACCCCCTCCCCCGCCGCCCGTCTCCTTTACCCCTGAGAAACTAGGGAGGGTCCCTCCTGAGCTTCTTGCCCCACCCACTATCCACCTGTGGGCTATGCTGTCTTTTATCTGACCGTTCCCTTGGCAACGTCTCTGGGCCCCGTTTCCCAAGTTCATTCCCACGTACAATAGTGTGATGGAATGGAATTATGAAGGACAGGCTCAGGGAGATAAACATTTTCTTAGCTCCCCAGAAGAG